TCTTCATTTTCAACTATTAATTAACGTGTATCCAACGTTGGAGTTTGATGTCAAGACAACATTGGGTTTTGACGTCAGTCAGGTCTTCATTTTCAACTATTAATTAACATGTATCCAACGTTGGAGTTTGATGTCAAGACAACACTGGGTTTTAACGTCAGTCACATCTTCATTTTCAACTATTAATTAACGTGTATCCAACGTTGGAGTTTGATGTCAAGACAACATTGGGTTTTGACGTCAGTCAGATCTTCATTTTCATCAGCCTCCAACATTGCACAGATGTTGAATGTTGGTTGGAAATCAAAAATGGCTATCCATCAAAACACATTAACCGTAAAATTACAACTTTAATGAATTGGTTAGTATGGATTCTGTTGTCATGACATCAAACTCAAGATCTAATACCAGACTGAAAGAATTACTTTAAGAGCACAGAAAAGTTACACTTTACAATCCCAGTGAAACTGGAATCCACAAATGTTTGGCGGTTTGGGTAAATGACAGATATGCAATGGGTTATCAAAAACATTTTTTCTTCTTTTATTAACACTACACTAAATACAGAACAAAACATTAAAAACATTCTGCACTTGAATACTATAGCTTAAAACAAACAGAACTTCATAACCATTTAAAGAATTTAACTAAATACAAAACTCAACATTAAAAACACTGCACTTGAATAGTATTGCTTAAAACAAACAGAACTTCATAACCATTTAAAGAATTTAACTAAATACAAAACTAAAAAGTAAAAATGCTAACAACTTAAACTGAACTTTTTCTCCTGCCACCTCCACCCACCCTGTCTGGGGCATACTTTAGGCAGAAGGCGACAGCCTCTGCCATGCTGGCCTCTGTTTCAGCCTCCCTTCCTGATGTTTTCAGGACACTCTCTGTAAGATATATTTGAAACTGTGAGTGGAATACAGGATAAGTTAGGCTATAGTAAGCAATGTTAGACATTCTTAGAGGTCATGCACAATACATTCTTGCATGTACATGCTGCAACTCCTCAAAACAGATTTCAACTTTGGATGCTGTTCACAAACAATAAGCTAGAGTTGCAACTAACAATTAATTTTGTTTTTGATTAATTGGTCAATCATCCTCTTAAACGGGGCAATAAGCTAAATTCATCATTTCTAGATTGAAGGAATTAAAAAAATGCTATGTGAAGAACTAGAGGTGTAATTTCATCTGGAGTATAGCATGACCTCACACACCCTCTCTCTGTGTTGATCTCCAGCCCACTGTTTACAAGCCAGTCCGGCTGCGCGTTCATGTACGTTCGAGCCCTTGGCCCTCCCTCCCTATAAAAAGCTACAGCCAGTGAGCAATGGCAGTGCGTATTTTCGAAGTGAAATGGCGGAGAGCAGAACAAAACGTTCACCTGAAGACTACCAGGATCCGACATTACCTCTAAAGAAACAACAGTAGTTGGCGTAGAAGTTGTCGGATAAAGAAAGGGACGGAACCTGGAATAACATTGACCTTGCATTTCCAAGGTGGAGAGCACTGCGAGAGCTAAAGGGGCTACAATTTGCCTCAGAGCTAGCTCTTCTTCTCCTGGACCTGGACAGGTACAACATAAAGTCAAATGTCTGTTTTAATTAGTGTTACAGTAACGTTAGGCACATGTCGCTGTGTCGATTCAATTAAATTTAATGTTACAATCGTAGCATGGGTTAATGTCTGGAGCTTGAGTCATTAGCGGCTCGGTCCCAGCAATGGGTCAGGCGTTACGGTTGTGTTAGGTGAGTAGCCCGGCAGCCCAGCTAACATTTGCAATTAGCATTGTAAAATGTAGCCCAGCGGGCTGTGTTTAGCTATTCCCTTGCCTACTTCAATGATGATGGTACCTGTAATAAATGTAATATA